ACGTGTAGCTTAACCTCTCTAGTATCTATTCAAAACGTTCTGTCAATGCGATCATTACAAAAATAGTATCGCGAGGAGAGCTGAAAAATTAAACTGGGCTCCCTTGCCTCTGAAAAATATTTTGACTGAGATTAATAATGATTTCTCCAATTAGGTAAATTTTCGAACGTTTACAATGCATAAATCAGTTTTTTGAGTTTCTTCTATTAAGAGCTTGTACACGATCCCTTTGATTTCTGTTTAATGCCGAGGGAGAGCTATGCGATCTGGCATCATTCTGGTATACTGGTATAATTGTATCACCTCTGACTCAAGGAATGTTAAATCTGCCATTCCAGGGTATCAACCGATCATAAGGTGTTACCTGATTGGCAATCAGAGGGTAAATAGCATGCAAGTTAGTTTTCCTGAAATCATGTTATGAAAATTGTGAACTCCGTAATTCTTGCTTCATCGTTTCCTAGCTTGAGTAGTGCATTAATCATAAAATAATGTATAGCTTCCATTTTAGGCTACTCCCACGAAAACTGACATGCTCCCAGATTTGAGTAATTCCCAAACCCTAGCAGGGTATGGAGACCATCTTTGATAAAAAAAAATATATATATATAAGAGAAGCATTAAAGGTACGAACCTTTGGATGAAGAGAAAAATAATTCCAATTATACGGTATGATTTCGGGAAATATGGGTCGCAGGGCACGATCAGTGATGCGATTTAAGACTGCTGAAGTCCTTATCAGCTGGCATTGGATCATAGCCATTTACACGATGCTTTAATAAATCAGCGTCTGGGTCAAAATGGGAGATTTACCTTATCGCACCAGATCCCAGGATTGTATTTAACATCTTCTGATCATTCTGTCTGATGGAGATTTGTCTATAATTACCCTTTAATGGAAAACATTCGCTATTTGTGAAGCGAATTTTGCCAGATGTTTCTACTAGTGAACCATTCTATTTACGAGTTACGTCCAGATAGAAAATATTTTCTTACCAGAACATAATTGGGAATTTTTATATATCAGTTTCTGTTCTTCATCTATCAAGCATGAGACTGTTCGTTCCTTTAACCGTACGTTTACAATTTTGAAAACTCATTTTCATGTAGAGCAGCTTTATGTAGAGCTTGTAGCAAAGCACAATGGGCAACATTGAAAAAGAAAGACAAACAGATTCCTCCATTCATATAATTATATAATCAATATCACCATGCATCTGATGAGCAACTTCTCGAAACTCCACATACAATTAATACTCAAAGTCCAATTAACTATAGAACTTGAAAAAAGTTGCACTATGTAAAAATCAATGGAGCTAAAATATAAACGTGGCATGCATGCAAGCAATCATTCAATCACAATTGCTCTGGATAAAAACTGAAATACTGGAAAATGTAGTCAGTTGGTAATGTACTATTGATTGGGGTATCTAGCTAATAACAAAATAGTTCGTAAATCACAGTTGACAACTTCATCCTAGGATTATGGGGATACATTGATCGCTCACTGAACTCTATATTTAGGCATATTATACAAGGCTAACTGTAGCTAGGGTATTGCCTCATTTCAAAGGGTTACATTGAGTTGAAAATGAATCAGAAATATAATGCAAACGATTTTGCCTGTGTGATATGTGCGTTCGGTATATATCATGATAAAAAACAAAAGGCAACGTTTGAAAAATAAAAACAAAACCTACGTGTAATATACATGTAATGGTATTATATTACACCAATTAGAGTCATCGATCCTTTTGTAGGTGTTGAAAAAATCTGGAGGGAAACGACTAAATAGATGTTATACCGATGATGTATGTAGGCCTAAATAGTGTCCACTTCCCTCACAAGTTAAGTTTATATTTGTAAAAAGATTGTTTTCAAAATAACATTATTCATGTTTAAAGGGGACCACCACCATGGTCACATGATCAGTCGTGTGGAGGTAAGCTCCTAGTTGAAATAAAAGCACTGTCCTCCTTTGGTTTATGTGAAAAGTAGCTAATACCCTCATGTATTGGTCAGTTTGTGTGTCACACGACTAATCCACACCATATGCTTCATTCAACATATTTTATGCTATTAAGCTGCATATAAAAACACTACTTTGCAGTAAAAACGTACTACTGGATGAACTAAGGTTAGGGTAATTAAATGTATCTGATCAGATCTATACAGAAATGCATAACTAGAAATGTATCTGATGAGATCCATACATAAATGCATAACTAGAAATGTATCTGATGAGATCTATACAGAAATGCATAACTAGAAATGTGTCTGATCAGATCCATACAGAAATGCATAACTAGAAATGTATCTGATGAGATCTATACAGAAATGCATGACTAAAAATGTATCTGATCAGATCCATACATAAATGCATAACTAGAAATGTATCTGATCAGATCCATATAGAAATGCATAACTAGCAATGTATCTGATCAGATCCATACAGAAATGCATAACTAGAAATGTATCTGATGAGATCTATACAGAAATGCATAAGCAGAAATGTATCTGATGAGATCTATACAGAAATGCATAAGTAGAAATGTATCTGATCAGATCCATACATAAATGCATAACTGGAAATGTATCTGATGAGATCTATACAGAAATGTTTAACTAGAAATGTATCTGATCAGATCCATACATAAATGCGTAACTAGAAATGTATCTGATGAGATCTATACAGAAATGCATAACTAGAAATGTATCTGATCAGATCCATACATAAATGCATAACTAGAAATGTATCTGATCAGATCCATACATAAATGCATAACTAGAAATGTATCTGATCATATCCATACAGAAATGCGTAACTAGAAATGTATCTGATCAGATCCATACAGAAATGTATAACTAGAAATGTATCTGATCAGATCCATACAAAAATGCGCAACTAGAAATGTGTCTGATCAGATATACAAAAATGCATAAGTAGAAATGTGCGTAACTAGTACAGTGCCTTCCTTCGTACTCAATCAAAACCATATCATTCTCGGATTCTGTACGGTGCTTGTAATATTGTTAGCAACGTGATGATTTATTTTGCCAATTTACAACTCTAAATAAACACGAGTCGCAGAAATAACCAAGCTATAACTTGAAAATAAGTTACTCTGGCACTAATGGAAATAAACTTCACTCCAATCTGTAAGATGATAACTATGTAAAAAGAAAATTATTTTTCAGAACACTGAATTTGATACCATGGCGATTATGAATTTGTCTGAATCGTTTTACCAGAGCTGAATGATAACGAGAAACCAGAAACAAAAATTATATATTTATAAGTCTCCATTTCTTCGTCAAGATTCGCCAATATGCGAATTCAAATGATTCGAACACAATCAGAAAAGCGATAAATCGTTATACATCATGTCAAAAAGAGTTATATTTTCTAGTTCTATTTAAAATCGTTTGGATTAATATCTGTTAAGGCTAAGGGGTCGTCTCCCCGTCGGAAATCTCGATTCAAAAATCAAAAACGGAGCTTACTTTTTTTATAAGATAAAGTTTATGTATCATAAATAGAGAGGTTAAGCTACACGTATAAATGCAAACCGTGAACCTGAACGCGTAAGTCCACGCTCAAGTACACGTTAAAGAAAATTTTCAGTTAAGCTACACGTCTGAAACCATGTCAGTGGACGTGGAGCTATATTTATGTGGCGACTGTGTCTAAAGGTCATGCCTCTATGGTGTAATGGATAGCACTTCGGCAATCTAGCACTTCACGTTTGTCCGTTAGGCCTGGGTTCGAATCTTGTCGCAATAAAACATTTTGTTTTTTATTTTTTATTTATTTCATATTCAACCACAATAAGGGTCTAGTGCACTTTCCATTATGATTTCCCCATGAATAAAATGATTCATTTTTAACTGTATATTATAAAGAATACAATGTCACATAATACTTTGAAAAATATTTAAGCGTTTAGACCCACATTGGCTGAGGTTGAGGTCATTAAGTTCTACAAGGGTATATTGACTTGGCATTGGATGTGTTCTATTGACTTAACATGTTGATACCATCAGATTCCGATGGAGGCCATTGGTTTCTATTGAGTTTCCCAAAAATACACTATGACCTGAATTAATTGCAAATTAAATAATTTCACAATATGACACAAATGGTATATCACATCAGATGTGCAAATATAAAGTTTGCAATCGATTCAGGTCAAACTTCAAATTAAAAGATAATACATTTTTTCATCATTTTTCATCATTTTTTCCTACAAAATGGCTATAGAAAAATGCTTCAAAAGCAACTTTTACACTTACGAAATCCCATACAACTTTGTAAATACAAAGATTATACTGTTATGTTTCATTAATGAATATCATATTTGGATAAGATGTAGGGATGTGTAGGATGCAAATGGATTTTGGCAGACACAAAAAGGCTTCATGGTTTGGCATCTCAACCCCTGTACACTTTATGATTGAATATTGGTCCTAATATGTGGCCCATTCATCAATACAGTGCTGAATTCTAGTGTATATATAAATGAAATAATAAAAGCAGTATATATTTTTTGAAAAATCAGATGAATTTATTTTTGTTCATGGGGAGATCATAGCACACTAGATCCTTTCTTGCCCTGGTTGTCATTTCATTTCGTTTAGTTTACATATTGTACTAAGCCCCGGGCATCAAATTGATCTTGCTAATTTATATTGTACGGAATGAACAAGCGATCACATTTGAAGTTGTCATTTACCAATTAAAATTTATTCTTATTTCCAATTAAGGATTGGGGTTTACCAATATAACAAGCAAGATTGTCTGTGTCAAATATGGGCTCCAGGGCCATCCTAGAACATAGCTAAAATCAATCACGTAATGAGCGATGTGTAATCACTCATCTACACGTAAAAACCTGGAACTTTCACGCTTACCTGAAGAAAGAAGACTAATCTGACGTCATTTTCCTGCGCACGCATAGAAGTACACGTTCATGCTTTGTTGAATACGCGTCTGTAAATTGCACGAATATGATAATTTCATGTAAAAACCTGTAAACTTCACGCTGGCCCACAGGAAATAAACAAATCTGACGTCATTTATCTGCGCGCGCATTGAAGTTCACGTTCAAGTTTTGTTAAATACGTGTAGCTTAACCTCTCTAGTGTCTGCTCATAAATCCTGGCATCTGGGTAAAGGAATTACGCTTTTTTCGAGGTCATCGAAAGTTCCGGGTTTGAAACGATACTCTGGCTTTGATGGTATCGCTGCAAATTCTCTTTCCGTCAATGTGCGTTCAACTAGGCCAGCTAGGCCAACTTTTTCTTTTTCCTTTGGAAGTTCTACAAGAATGACAGTTGGTGCACCAATTCCCGGTTCGTAACTCGAACTCTTTTTCAATAGCTCGGCTTGCTTAATTGTTTCTTTTGACATTGAATGCGGATTCGAAACCTCATCGGTAACGAGAATTACGACAGCCTGAAATCAAGTATAACAAGTTTTATCCCTAGCTGATCTCGTAAGCACAATTAACTATTTTAAGACATGTATTTCTAATATTAAGATATGAATTTCAGAGAGATTCTATACAAATGAACATATCGTTTATATGACAGTCCAAGTTGTGAAATGTGAATTTGATGTGTTGTGGCACGTTCTCTCTATAGTTTACCTTGTAAACACATTGGTGTTGACAAAAATGTGGTATTTTAACAGGGGTAAAATTGGCAAATCCACCTGACGTTTTAACGTAATTTTTCATGTTCACATCATTTTGAACATATATTATTTATAGCCACCTGGACTTGTAACGAGAATGCTTATATACTTTAATAACGCAGTCAATTCCCTTGCTAGAGGGATTACATAATTCTAATGCCAATTTATAGAAAAAACTACACAACGTTGCACCTCAATAATGTTTATTCAATCAATGAACATATATACCTTGGTAATATCTTAGGAATTGTTACAAAATATGAATAAGTTCTGCTGAAATGGGGAAAATTGGGAAAAGTAGCATAACTGCCACAACCACCTGAAATTATTTGTCATTTATCATGTAATTGTTTAACGTGTTGTAAATAAATCATTTCCAATTACTTTTCAGCAAATACATTTAATTAATACTTTGATACTAAAAGTGTCTCAAAGGCCGGAGACGGCTGGGGGCTGTTGACTTTCTTGTAAATAATGTATTTATCGTATGATCTGTAAAACGAAGCCTTCTGATTGGTCAGTTCTTGTGCTGTACCAATCTGTATTGCTACTGGGATTGTCCCCGTTGATCAACTCCGTCGCAATACAGAAAATATTGGTACGGAGAGGACAATCTCAGTAGCAATACAGAGGATCACACGATAAAAACGTTATTGAATGATTTGAAGTTCAATACAGGATATATTCTGTCTCGATATTCTGTATTGGCACTCGACTACGTCTCGTTCCAATACGGAATTTCTCGAGCAGAATATATCCTGTATTGCACTTCAAATCATTCAATAACTTATAATGTCTTCACCATGTATAGCCTGGGACACTATAATAAATATTCAACTAAAACTAAAACTGTAAATATCAGTTTAATCAAATGCAGAAACAACATCTAATTGATAGTATTCTTAGTATTTTTAGTTAATTGTTTGTTCACATAAAACAGGAGAACGTAGTTTAATTTCATAAATAATATATTTTGTGTCACTCTCCATGATCAGTTGTTTGACTTTGCTTCTCTCCTCAGTTTATTTGAAAGTGGGAGGGTGGTTGTATGTGAAAATATATGGTTTCAGAATTGCATGAACTGTTATGTCTAAGAAACTATTCATCGGAATCACTCCACATTAGACAGTATGCATGCTTGAGATAGAATTCTACATTAGAGTTAAATAAAAATATGCTATATGAGTAAATGGGTTTGGCAATAGAAGTCAAAGATCAAATATATGTCTTAATGGATTCCACTTAAACTTGATATGTAGTGAATAACCCCTACCATTTGTTTAGATTTTGTGTGGTATATTTAAAAAATAGTATTAAGATCAAAAGGAAATGTGAGATTTACGAATTTTCGATGTATTCATACATTCATTACCTGATGAATATGTATGAATACATCGAAAATTCGTAAATTCAACATTTTGTTTTATTTTTAACACTTATTAACATATTAAGATCAAGAGGGATATGACGATACCCAATGTTAAGTCAAATGTGCATATTCTCATGTTAAGTCAATACACGTTTGTCGCAATCTTGATATATTCTGACGAATATATTCGTTTTTTATATTCTACATTCCCAAATACCCAAAGCTACACACTATTTTTAAATATCAAATCTTCAAACGAAAACAAAAATTCCGACGCATTTGAATGGCTGGGTGGGTGGGTTGATCTAGTCGTTCTTATATTGACATTAATCGTGTATGTCTGTCATACACATTGAATAGAGTGTTACATTTTTATGCGTATATTCACTCATGCATATACCATTACAAATCATTTATTTTAAAAACCTTCGGAATGTTTTTGTGAGTACAGTAATTTCAAGGGTCACAATTTCACTACGATTAATTACGTCTCAATTACAACGTAATATGCCAAAGGCTAAGGATAGAGGGGATGAGGCCAATGGGCCATATATGAGGAAGGCCTTGGGAAGACAGGTGGAAAAAGACAATAACAATGCTACTGAGATGGTGGATGATGAAGATTTAGATGTGTCTATAGGGAAGCGGGTACTCCACTTGAAACAGAAGAAATATGCCAATTTCTTTGAAGCCATATTTTTTATGACCAAACTAATTCTCTTTACAAGAACAGACGAAAGAAAGATGGAGAAATAGGGAATTTTGCTAATAGCACCATGAGTACCTTCTGGGCACAAATAGAGTGTTTTTATTAAAACAATATGTTTTCTTTTAATTGAAGTACCCATGATGATAAAAATATCAATCAAACAATTCGAAAAATGATGAATAGGGACCCCATGTCAACATTTTTTCTAAATATTGAACCTATTTACTCAAAAGAGGAACTTCTTTTTCTGATTTTTATTGCATGAAAACATTATTATCCTGGAAGTCCTGTTTATCGAAGTATTTCGTTTTCAAATGTTGCATTCACGCCATGTGGAACAGTCATACTGGGTAATACAGGGATTAAGTATAAATCTAGAGGCCTGTAAATCGACCGATGTCCTGGCGGGTCCCGTACGGCCATCGGTCGATAGCCTTGCGATACCCGTGCGATGTCTTTCAGATTCAATTGATTGCGGGCGCCGTACGATGCCTGTACTAATGTGACCATACTCACGATTAGATCAAGACATCGGTGAAAAGTCACCGGCGCCCGGTCGATTTATAAGTCGGCCGATGACTACTCATCGACCGGCGCCCGGCGGCTATGTGACCCAGGCATAAGTCAGGAAGGTGAACAATCTTCGTCCCATGTTGATTTCTCGTATAATTGTAAACAGGCAAGTTTCACCATTGAAATTGAAAATTACTATTAGATATACTTTGTAGATGTTATTAATGACCTATTAAGTGTATGCATCAATCAAATGGCTCATTTTGAACATATAAAAAAGTATTTGTGTTTTGTTTCCCAGGGAATCGTATGTAGTACACACATAAATAGTGTACATTATGTAGTACTTGAATAGCCTGGATTATATAATATTGAAGGGCATGCTGATTGTACACACGAGTACATGCATGAAGGCCTAAGATTGATATTGCTTGCATACCTAAATAAAAGTGAACTCTTCTAATCCCCTAATGTAAACACGGCGGTATACGTAGTCCGATTTATCGGAGACTTTAAGTTTTTTTAAATCAACAAATATCGATGTTTCATTCGTCAGTCTTCGTTTTTGGCATTAGAAATGCACGATCTGACTGCGCATTACACATTGAGGTTCTACCTTTAAAAGTATACTTATATTATTCCTTACCTTTATGCACTCACTCCGGCCACCTTCAGTTGTTAAAAGTGATACCCTGGCCTCCTCCAAGGCAAGCCATGTAGCTGTCCCATTTTTTGGATCCATTTTCATCATTCTCATAGCAGTCCTCTTTAAGTAATTGATCAATAAATAATATAGTCCTATGGTAAAACCAGTTCTCAAATAAATTAAATTGGTGGTGAGCCATTTTAGAGGACATGATCTTCATATTCAACTCTTTGTTATTCATGCATCAGTTGTAGCGCTAGCCCCGATAAATGGTCGATCAAAGTGAATGGTCCCTTTTATTACCAATGAGTAACATGAAATCACGAATAGAGAGATTTCGCAACTAACGAATTGCATGTTTATTATTCCCGTAACTTATGAACCGTTTTATTGCGTCATCATTTATTGCGCAGCTCTGTACGTCAATAAGTGCGATATTCTTACGTATAGCAAGGGCGAACGTAATACCCGGAACTTTCGCAAATTGGCGTTTGGTTTTTTACCGCATCCGATTTGAATTAGCCAATAAATATGATAGGGGTAGGAAAACTTGAAATTCATTCTGACGATGTGTCTGACTGACTGACAGAAAACACAATCGCCACTTCAAGTACATTTCCCTTTTTATTCTGTCCGTATTAACCCTTATTTACATATCATATATTTAAGTTAATCAATTATGCAGCTAATGATGTGAACGGATTGCAATGCCATAGAGCAAATAACCGCAAAACGGTACAGAAAAGGTACCTAGTTCTGAGAAAACCTACCCCTCTATACACCATTGTCGATACTCGTCGCAAGATCCTGGGGAAATCGCTTATTTTACGCAATTTTTAATATTCATCCTTTTACCATTTCGCTGTACATTAGAGTTACATAACCTATCATATATCATTTTGAAGGGTAACCACTCATCTTTTTGACTATAGCATTAAGATGTATTAGAAATCTAGCATAACGCAGCGTTCTACGGTTTTGTATGCGAGGAAACTGTAAATTAACGTTGTAATTATGTAACGTAATTCCTTGTAAAAATACCTTAAATCATGAATATTTCGGTAAAACGTTGATCAAAATGCTCCAAAATTTGCTCCTACATTCACTGGACCATGTAAAAGTATGACGTCATAACACATTGACGGTTACAATTCAAATATTTTGTATAGACCGCATTAGATTTCTTCGGGGAAAGTGTAAGATTTTTTGGCGTAAAACACATATGGTAAGTTAACTGCTTCTAACTTTTTTATTACTAGACAAAATAAAAAGATTTTTGATATGGACAATATTGTCTTGGCGAAATTAAAGAATATCTCCTCAAAATATATACTTATGGGCTTTTACCCTGCGTAAAGCCAGATACAAAAAGTGGTACAAGAATGTACAAGAGCACATTTTTACATTAATTTTTGCGCATAGTCTATTTTGAGGGGTATTTTAATTGATTTAGATATAATATTTTTAAAATTCGACTTGATTTTAAAAATATTGTCCTTGCCAAATTGATGCCTGTGAATTTTCAATAAGATTAATAATTAGTAAAGCACCATACTTTAAAAATAAAAAGTGGTACAAAAATATACGTTCCCTATTTTACGACGTAAAGGAGATTCTTTGTCAGCCTTTTGTTAAGATCGTCCTGTTGTTATCAGTCGTGTTATGACGTCATAAATGATATCCAAAACACTTGATCACCATAGATTACTACGCGATTTGGCACGAAAGAATAATTGAAATTACGTCGTGGAATTCCTGCTGAATGTTTATATCTTATTTTCAACAATATACTATTTTGGCTATATATTCACTTTACTACTTATTAAAGACGGAGTGACAATGAAATATTCTGTTATCATATACTGATGTAATGCGTTAATTCGTCGTCAAGATATGCATCATGTTCAAGCGTTCCATATAAGGAATACACGACGCGGAACACATAATACATAGAGTTCCTGTAAAGCTTGTATTCCAAGGTTTCTAACGGTATATAGAATCCTAATACTTCAACACACTTACAATATCTTAAAAGCACAATTTGTTTTTACGTGTTGTTACTTTTGTAATTTGTTGATAGTAATCGGGTGTTACAGGGAGTTCCCCAGGATCTTGCGACTAGTACTAACGAAGACCAAACAAAGCCCCGGATGTAGTGTTGTTTCTCGTTTCGTTTGGTACACAACTAAGCCCCGGGTATAGACGACGATTTATAAGAACATCACACCCATCAATGATGTAATGGACGTATAGAGCTGCACAATATATGATGACGTAATCAAACGCCCTTCATAAAGGAATGATAAGCATTAAATGAGTTGAATCTCTCTAATGTCATGTTCAAAAGTTGGTTTAAGTTGATGTTTTACATTGATACACATATAAATTAACAATAAAACAATAAGCAAAAACAATGGATTAATAAACTATATGAGGTAGATGTCAGAGAAGTTGATAAACAGGTCTGATTTTATCACTGGAGAGGATAAGCTTTGCATATATAATCGAAACTGAACCTGTACGTATCACCCTACCATTTACAAAGTCATGTAGCCTTCTCATATAAATAGCCGTTCAAATCCAGTGTTTGTTTAGACTACACCATAGCGTGTAATGATTCTATAGTTAAGGAATAAATAATGATAGGCCATTCAATATGGTGAAATTCAGCACGAGTTGGACAGAATGTTGTACAAAGCACGAACCGAAGGAGAGTGCATTTGTACTAACATTCTGTCCAACGAGTGCTGAATTTCACCATATTGAATGGCCTATCATTATTTATTCCGATTCAAACATAAAAATTAGTAAAAGCCGTGTCTGTGCAACTGGCATGAAGGAAGAATACGCATGCTGTCAAGATTCTGAAGTCGGCCGGAAAAATTTTAGAATTTGTTTGGGCTGTTCTATTTTACTCCCCGTTTTAGATTTTATACGGTGTATGCAAACATTGGGGTGTTGATAAAATAGTTACAGTAGTTACGGAGGGAGTAAAAAAGAACAGCTATCCCCGGACAGAGCCCCAGATGTGCAGCTGAGATGTGACGTCACTCAAAACAATGCAAATTGCAGATTGAATAGAGCATGGTCGTGCATCTATGGAGAATTAGAGAACGTTCTATATTGGCTATGCTGCATTCTGATTGGTTGAGAAATTCGAATAGAGCACGGTCATGTTTGAATATGTCATTGATGCGGTTTTATAGCTGGTTTTCTAATACATATTTTAAACGAGCTCGTTTCGTAAGATTTTTGGCGCTAAATCATGCATGACATACATCATCGTGTTCAGCAAGAATTCAACTGTGCATCGAAATCAAAATTGACACCATAGTGTTCAAAAGACACGAGTAAAATGGTTCCCGTTGACCCAACGTCAAATATTCAAATCTCACGTTCTAAACCCGAAACTCTGAAGCTGAAAGAGTATCTAAAGTAGACTAAGCGCGCATAAAACTATGAGCGCTCGATACATTCCTTTGTTAATTTTTGTACTTTGCGTTCACGATTACGTTGTGAAAAACATCGTTAGCTTAACCTCTCCACTATCTATAGCAGACCGTATAATAATATGTTACATCATTTCATAGCGCAAATAACAATACGCAGAAGTTACCATCGTAATGAGCTTATACAAAATCAACGTATTTCACAGTGTCTTTTGTTTTATACAAATTTGTGATGTGACCGAGGATTTGCCTGTCATACCTCAATTTCTCTGTCGTGTGATGACAATTTAAGAAAAGTGTGGACATCGCCTCCATATGTCAATCCTGCCACCCGTGTAGGTGAATGGCCGAGCCGATAACTTTCCACAATATGTATAACAAAGTCTCGTACTTTCATCTTGTTTACATTACTAATTGATTTTGACATGTCAATTAGAAAGACTAAACCAATAGCACACACATTCTTGTCGCCTGAAACGACAATTTGTACATTCCAATGTATGTAAGCTGGCACACTTTTGTTTTTAGGGTGAATGTAACTTTAATTCTTCGGAATATAAGATAATATTCTAACTAAAATCATAGTTTGGTATATGCTGGGGCTTTAAAGAATGGGTATCGATATGGCGAACTTTTTGAACACACGTTTCTCTTAAACCAGTCATCATAAATTTCTGAAAATCTTACAAATTGTTAATTTAATGGCCATCTTTTGAATGGTAACAATATAATTTGAAATAGATATACATACTTTCATCTATATTGTTTTAAAAAACACATCAAAAACTTGTTTTGTTCTTGGTATCATGTTTCCAGAGTGAAATGAAACATCTTTCCGAACCTCATTGGAACAAAACGACATAAACACAACATGTTTAGGTCTCTCAATATTGACGTAATTGTACAAAGGAAATTTTGGTTGATTTTAAAAAAGTATCTTGTTAATGAAATAAAAGGTTTTTCTTGATTTTTATCTATTTTGGGGGGATTTTGTTTTAATTTTTTGAATACTTTTTTAAAATCAACCAAAAATCCCTTTGTATAACTTTAATATTGAGAGGTCTAAAAACATGTTGTATATACTATTTTGTTCCAACAAGGTTCGGAAAGACATTTTATTTCATTCTCAAGAATTGGTAGAAAGGAGCAAAAACAATAATTGCACTAAAAAAATAAAAAGTGTTAACAAAAACAGTTATATAAAATATTTCTAAATAATTTTCGCATTAAATTGTTGTCAATCAGTCAACATTACATACACGATTCTAACCTATTAATAATTATTAATATTTTCTGATCATGAACATGGGTGTATATTTTAGATCCATTCATTATCTTCAAGAAAAGTATATATAATGATAATTTAGTTAATCAGACCTAAGTGATATTGAAGGGGCAATGGACCAATCAACATACTTTTTCAAAAATGTTGACCTAACTTCACCAAAAATGCAACCTTTTATTATTAATATTGTTGAATGTATAATTAGAATGTGCTTTTGATGTTCGATTTCAAAAAAGGAAAAGTTGATTGCTCCAGGGACTTTAAAGATACTGAATGTGGATGACCAAAATGATCTGAAACCAATGGATGGGATGAGATTTTTCAATGGAGAAATAACCTGGGAAACACTTATCTTAAAGCAATTAAGTTTTTCTTTCAAGAACTATTTGAGAATAGTAATGCATTAAACATTGTAAAAAATGATTGCATTTTTGGTGAAAATGGGGTCAACATCTTTGAAAAAGTGTGTTGATAGGTTGATTGCTAGTTATAATCATCTCCGAGTTTGTTTGACTTTATTATTACTGTATATAATTTTCTTTGAGATAATGAATTGATCTAAAATCTAAACCTGTCTTCATTGTTAGAAAATAGTCATAATCCAAGATATAACCTTCTGAAATTGTTTGCGATAACCTATGTGCTCCTTTAAGGCTCGTAGTGGCTGTTTTAGCACTAATGTTGATTTCAGTAGACAAGGCGAATGCAAAGACATATGTACTTAATGTGATTTCAACTAGCGCGAAACAATTGAACATAGACTGTTTGAATGTCCAGCCGACCACTTTATTAGACATGAACTCATGCTTGACTTTATAAATGCTTGTAATAGTGAAATGTTCTCATATTTCCTGCAATTGTCACTGCAGGAAAAAACTAAATGGGTACTGGGTTCATGTTACAGAAATATTTGGGGTCACGACCTAGCCAGAAAATTTGATGCTTGGTCAAAGGGATTTTGAGTCAAATTATATACTGCCATTAACGTAAGATTGTATGACATGTAATCACTTTTTAATATGCATGTATATTTTTAATATGTATGTTTTACTACATAGATGTAACTGTAAAAATGCTGCACTACAAGGTTGTATGTGCCACTGTTCTAAAATTGTTTTAGCAAATAAATAAATTAAAATATAAATAAATAATATATATGTTGCCTGAGGATTTGAACAAGAAACTGGTTGCAACGAAATGTAATCATCTTATGTTTTTATTTAGGTTTTATTATATATACAGGGTGGGCCAAAAAAACCACCCCTCTAGCAAATATTCCTGATAAATATTTATTTTTTAACAATCACACCAACAATGATATATCATATTAAAGATAATTTAATTTGCAACAAAATGATATATAATAGCACCATTTTCAACAACCCCATATAGAAATATGACCATTTATGTGACATGGGGGTCAAAAAACACCTTTTCAATTTTCGTCGATTTTGTGAACAATTGCCTATTTCTACCAAATTTTAGTAAATTACAACATTGTCATGAGTCTTTCATAATTGGATATTATATATTGTTTTCATTCAGTTTTTGAACCTTGCATGCTCAATATACATGTGTATGCTTATAAAACTAATTCATTTCTTCTTCAGTCTGTCCAAAAATAGCTCAATAGACCCACCCCCCCCCGGACGCATCCTCTGATTGGATTATTCGCTTAAGACACGGAAGCCATTGGTTGATGGCATAATTGATGGATGTATGCGGAAGTACCATTCAACTACTAGTTATTCTTTTTTTTAGTTCCTCTACATCCCTGATAGGCTGGGTATATTTAAATACCAACTGTTCTAGATGCCCCCAGGTATGGTTATCAACATTATTGGCAATTGGACTGCCAGTAAGCTATTTTCTGGGCTAGAGATGGTGACATTTCGAATCTCCAAAAACTCCAGGGTAGCATTGGACCTGTGTGATGGAGCACTGTTCTATCAGAAAATATAATTTCTTTCATATGTTTTTTATATTCTTGAGGAGTCCTTTTTTACCACCTCATGTCATTAACATTCAGAGTATATTTTTGCTCCTGGTTCAAAAACCGGGCCTGTATGGTCTTCCTTTTTGGGAAACACCGAGTGGACACCACCTACCTTTCAGAAAAATGTCATCTCGATTTGAGTAGCCTTTTATCGCAAAAGTCACTATTCTTGCTTACTGATATAGAGTATAGCCTTTTGATTACATGTATAGTACTTGGGGCATTTAGAACAGTTGGCCTATGGAGATCCCTAGACCATCAGGGGTGTAGACAAACAGAAAAATTGAATTGTTGGGTGTTGGATGGTACTTCTGCAGAGGTCAATCAATTATACCAATGGCTTTCGCGTTTTAAGCGAGAAATCAAATCAGAAGTTAGGTCCGGGGGTGAGTCTATTGAGTCAAATTTGGACAGAATGAAGAAGAAATTGATTAGTTTTATAAGCATACACATGTATATTGAGCATGCAAGGTTTTTTTTACCCCCATGTCACATAAATGGTCATATTTCTATATGGGGTTGTTGAAAATGGTGCTCTTATATATCATTTTGTTGCAAATTAAATTATCCTTGGAATGATATATCATTGTTGGTGTGCATGTTAAAAATATATATATACAGGGTGGGCCAAAAAATTGCAACTTTTTTAAAAGGCTAAAAAAGTGTCAAAACATGAAGGTAATGACATAAAAAACATTTACAGGCAAACGTCACATTCTGTTGTGTTAAAACGCGAAAATGTGTAACAATACGTGCGCAAACTTTTTGCGACGTGTCTATCCATTCTCTCTTGAATGTTATTGAATCACTTTTGAAATTTATCAGATTTATCCAGTTTCTAATTTAATTAAAACTAAATAAATTGTATACTTTTAATTCAATTAGCTCGACGATTTTGAACAAAGGTATGTTTAATGTGGGATACTGATAACGGAATCCAGACATGGTTAAAATCATAGCTTTCCAGAGGTCCGTGATGAAATGAAGCCAACTAAGGTCATATTTTATTTTGAGATCAACATGGTTTGCATCATTATAATTCCTGCATCTTACCTAAATCTATGCTACTTAATAAGCCTTTTCTTGTAATTTTTCTTGTAGTGTTTTTTTACACTCTGGTGTATAGCGAGAACAAGGATACACCATGGAAGTACCCTTGCTTCTAAAACTCTCGGTCACACCTATTCCGTCTTCACAATGGCCAAGCTCATAGAAATCTCTGTTACACACTAAATAACTACAGGCTGAGTTTGCATATTTGTATTTGGAATCGTCCCTCCACCCATACTCGCGACTGCACCCTGGAGAAAACAAGCATTTTATTTATAGATACTCTTTTGCTGTTATCTTCTCTTCTCTTCTCTCTTCTCTATAATAAACAAGATTGACAAAATAGTAGTACTGGTTTAGTTTTATTTTTACTTCTCATAGATGGCGTTCTATACTGAACGAAAAGACAAGTACAGTAAATAAACCCGGGAGCTACAGAGTGAGAACTTATTGAACATATCATGAAATTTGCACCATTCAAAAGTTTTGCGTGAGACCCCCCCCCCCCCAGGTGGGGAGGGAAAGGGATTTGATACGCATACTCCAAGGGATAGGAATTTGACGGAAATTTTTTTCTCGGGAAAGAGAAATTTGTTTTGTGTCCGCCCTGGAGTGGGGATTTGTTTCGTCCAGTATACACTTTAGGAAAATCATACTTTGCAAATGATCGGTAAATTTAGTTAACTAAAGAACTCATGTTGAGACACGAATGTCGGGAACAGATTAAAATACACTCCTCTTCATGTTGGTTACGATTCCGTGGGTGAAATTGCCGATAATAGGGAGTTTAAGATTAGCGTAAATAACCCATTTACCTATACCTATACGTAGTTTGTTATTACACTAAGCGGTATTTTACCTAAGTTACAGGGTTTACGATAGGTAATTACCTATAAATGGCCGAAGATAGGTAATTCGAAAACGTATGTTTTTATCCAACAAA